ATCCATTGACATCTCATATATAAAAACACAAAGAATTCATCACCCTCCCCCAAAAAATAGCTACACACAAAAGGACAGGTATATAAATAAAAAAGAGAATTTATCTCAATTGATGTGCAAGTCCAAGACCTCTGAAAACCTGAGGAAACAGGCAAACAAAACTACCCCCAAAGATCACATCCCCCAACAAAGGTTCCTGCAGATATGGAAGGGGACAAAATTCTAGAGAACGATTGTAAAAAAAAAACTGATTAGTAAAATGTTCAATTAACTAAAAGAAAATCTAAGTGATGAATTACGAGAAAAATATAGGAAATGAAAGACCACTTCAATAAAAAAGTAGAAACATTGAAAAGAAACCAATCAGAACTTCTTGAATTGAAAGACAAATCAAGGTAAAAATTTACTTGAAAGCATCACCAACAGATTAACTTGCATAGAGAATAGAACTTCAGCCCTTGAAAATGGGGCACATGAGCTTGAGTACATGAAATACAATAAAKAGAAAAGAAATCATAGAACATGATAAGAATATACATGAACTCTGAGACAACATCAAGARACCAAACCTGAGAAGGAGATGTCAAGAAAAAAATAATCAGAAGATACAAAGAAGACTGCTACATCCTGGTAAGTATAGTAAGTATATATGCCCAAAATGTCAGTGCACATAATTGCATTTAAAAAAATTCTCCTGGACATTATATCTCAGATAGACCCCACTACAATAATTCTGGGTAATGTCACACCCTTATCACCAATAGACAGGTCATCAAAACACAAAATCAATAAAACTATTTCAAACCTAAATAGTATTATAAATTAAATATATCTAATATATATTTACAGACTCTTACACTCCCAAAGAGCTGAATATTTTGGCGAACACCTTTACCCTAACACCTTCTTCTCAGAAGCTCATTAAACATTTTACAAAATGGATCACATTCTAGGTCACAATGTAAGTCTTGAAAAATAAAAATAAAGTTGATATAAACTTGTGTCTCCCATCAGGGAATAATGACATGAAACTAGAAATCAACTGCAAAAACCAATAGAAACTACATAAGCACATGGATATTGAACAATACTTTTTCTAAATGAAAAATAAATTAAAGAAGATATGAGAGAAKAAATCAAGAAATTCTTTGAAACAAATGATAAAAGAGGTATGATACGAAAGCAGTTATAATAAGAAAATTTATAATATTTAGTGCCTATTTAAAAAAAAGATAGATATCAAATAAATAAATTTATATCTCACCTCAAGGCCTTAGAAAAGGGAGAGTGAACTAATTCCAGACTCAGAAAAGACAGGAAATAATTAAGATTTGGAGCCAAAAATAATGAAGCCCAGAATAAAAAAGATTACATGATATTAATGCAAAAAGGAGTGTGTTCTTCAAAAACATAAATAACCTTAAGCCAAACTAATGAAAAAAAAGAGAAAAGACTCAAATCAACGAAATTAGAAATGAAAAAGGAGATATCACCACAGAAACTTCTTAAATCTAGAGAATCATTAGAAACTACTTTGAAAATGTATACTTCAATAAACTGGAAAATATAGAAGACATTGACAAACTTCTACACACATATGACCTGTCTGAAGTAAAACAAAAAATATATATAGAAAACCTAAACTGACAAATATCAAAGAATGAAATTTAAAAAGCAATTAAAATCTTTCCAAGGATATAAGCTCTGGACCAGATGGATTTTCAGCTGAGTTCTACCAGATCTTTAAAGAAATAATACCAGTATTTCTCAAATTATTCCATAAGATTGAAAGGGAGGAAAGACTCCCAAATACATTCTATGAAGCCAGTATGATATTAAAACCAAAGGCACATCAAAGAAAGAAAAGTACAAACCAAAAACCCCAATGAACACAGATATAAAAATCCTTAGTAGAATATTAGCAAACTGTGTACAAAAATACATCAAGAAAATAATACACCATGATTAAGTGGATTTCATCCCAGAAATGTAAGATTAGTTAAACATATACAAATCAACAAATGTAATTCAGCACTTAAATAGAATTAAGAATCAAATAGAAACTAGAATTAAATGGAAATTAAGAATTAAATAGAAACAAGAATCACAGGATCATCACAATGCATGCAGAAAAGAACTGATAAAATAATATTCATGTCAATAATTCTGAAGAAGCTAGGGTTGGAAGAAATTATCTCTAGTATAGAACTAACCCTCCATCATATTGGTGATGGCACTGGTGTCTTTAACAAGGCATCTAAAACTCAGGAAWTAAAACCAAGAATCAATAAATAGGATACCAGCCAGGTGTGGTAGTGCATACCTGTAATCCCACCAGCTCAGGAGACTGAAGTAAGAGGATCACAAGTTCAAAGTCAGCCTTAGCCACTTAGCAAGGTCCTAAAACAACTTAGAGAGACCATGTCTCTAAACAAAATATTAAAAAGGGCTAAGGATTTTGGCTCAGTGGTTAAGCACTCATGGGTTCAATCCCTGGTACCAAAAAGGAAACAAAAAAGTAGAATGCCATCAAATTAAAAAGCTTCTGCACAGCAAAGGAAATGATTAAAAATGTGAAGAGAGACTGTAGAGAATGGGAAAAAATCTTGCCAATTGCTACTAGAACAGGCAATTAATATCCAGAATATATAAAGAACTAGAAAAACTTAACACCAAAAAAACAAATAACCCATTTAAGAAATGGGCAACAGAACTAAACAGATTTTTTTTTCAAAAAGAAGAAACACAGTGCGCAAATAAATAAATAAATAAATGTTCAACATCTCTAGCAATTAAAGAAATGCAAATCAAAACTACACTAAGATTTCATCTCACTCCAGTCAGAGTGGCAAAGACCAAGAACACAAACAACAATAAATCCTGGTGGGGATGTTGGGGAAAGGCACACTGTACATTGTTGGTAGGACCTCACACTAGTACAACCACTCTGCAAAGCAATATGGAGAGTCCTCAAAAAACTAGGAATTTAACCATCATGTGTCTATCCTACTCTTTAATATTTATCCAAAAGAACCAAAATCAGTATACTATAATGATTCAGCTACCTCTAAGTTTATATGAGTACAAATCACAATAACTAAATTATGGAGACAACACAGATGACCATAATAGACGCACAGATTAAGAAATTATCCTATATATACACAATGGAATTTTACTCAAAGAGAAAGATTGAAATTATTGCATTTGCTGGTAAATGGAAGGAAATGAAGAATATCATACTAAGTAAAATAAGCCAGACTCAGAAAACCAAGGGTCAAATGTTTTCTCTGTTTTGTGGAAGATAGAGGAAAATAAAGAAAAGAAGGAGGGGAGGACTGGATATCATAAAGATATAGTTAAGATAACAGAGTCAAAGGAGTTCAAGAGGGAGAGAGGAAGATATGGTAAACTGGAAAAAAATCAAAATTAACTTTTAAAAAGTGTTATATGTATATATAAATACACCACAGGATTTTTCAACTTTATGTTTAAGTAGAAAGACACAAGCAAAAATAAATAGATGAGGGAATGAAAGGCCAGTAGAGTAGAGAAAAGAATTGGGGGGAGAGAAGGAGGAGAGGAAGAAAAAGGGGGGGAACATGAACCAAAATCAAATTCCATGCATATATGGGTGTTTCAGGTTAAACCCTACTATGTATAATTATAATACTTAATTTTTAAAAAGTTGAGAAAATTAGCACTTACCTGAATTAAAAATCAATAAATAAGTGGATATTTCATGTGTAAATATGTTCAATAGATATAATTCCAACTTTCTGTTAAAGCATTCTTTGGATTTATATTTTTTTATTTAGTTTAGTGGAACATTATTGAATATGGAAAAATTGGGAAAGATTGGAACATTTATGTTGAAAAATAATTCTGCAATAAATAGTAAAATCTTCATGGTAAACATTACTGCTTAGAAGTGATTTGTCCTAATAGGTAGTAAAATTTACTTCTTTCTCTGACTGGCATAGAATGAAACAAATAGAACAATAAAACTAAAAAAAATCAGGCAGGAAAATATTATACTGAAAGTGGGAATTTAATATTTTTTTAAAGTATGGTAACTATTTTAGGAGAAAATGATCCCTTATCTACCTGTAAAGAGGTCTCTATGGGGAATGGGGCTCTTCCATGGTAGAGTTGTTGAGAAGATGTAAAGAACACTTAGAACAAATATGCTAGCATAATAGACACTTTTAGAAAGTAAATATGAGTACCTTTTACTCAAGGAAAGCAAACATCAGTCAAATTCATTAAATTGTATGAAATAGCATGCCTTTTCTTAAACACACACACACACACACACACACACACACACACACACTGGTTTCAAGACCTTTCTTATTTTAAGATACATTTTATATATAATCTTTATTCAATAAATACTTAATGAAAAAWTTGTTCTGAAAATCCAAGGGTCCATTCAGATTTTTAACACTTACTTTTCAGTCATAGGTTTCTGAACTACTCTAGTCAATTCTATAAGCTAAACTTTATATTCAAATGACAAATTCTTTATTGGGATTTTTCTTCCCTTTTTATCTTCTGTCAAAAATTCTGAGCTGGGTGTGATGCTGAACATCTGTAATCCCAGCAACTCCGGAGGCTGGGACAGGAGGATCATGAGTCCAAAGCCAGATTCAGCAACAACACTAAGCAACTCAGTGAGACCCTGTCTCTAAATAAAATAAATATACAATAGGGCTGGGGATGTGGTTCAGTGTTCAAGTGCCCCTGAGTACCAAAAAGAAAAAAAAAATTCTGTAACCACATTCGATCCAGAGATTCCAGTATATGGCTGGTTTGATTAGTGATAATTCTGATGTGGTCTATGAACCTAGAGAGGGTTTCCTCAGAGTGAGTGTTTTCCCTCCAACCCCAGACATGAGCTGACACAGCCCTGGCCACTTCCTGTCTGGRGTGCCCACTCCCTGCCTTGGTCCCTACAGCAGGTGGCTGTCTCAGGCAGACCCTGGGATTTTGTGCACCTCCCTCCAACAGTCCTCCCACTGTGCCCTCTCTCAGTGCACAGAAATACACCACTGAGTCCCCCAGCTGTGAGGCTGAGATGACAAGCTGGATGGATTTGCTTGCCTTTTGCAAATTCACTGAGTAGCGACCTTCTGTGGCATTTTGCTGGCTGTAAGAGTTCTGAAGGATGAGGAAGACCATCTCCCCACTGCTGGGCTGCTTATAGCAGAGGAGATTGTAACTTGTACCACTGGTGTCATAGGAGCAGAGCAGGGTCACAGCCTCCTTCTCCTGCACCCACATGGCTGGCTGGGCCTGAGTCACCTTCTGGGCAAAACTGGATCCTGAAGGGAAAAGGACAGARTCAGAAAGTTCAGGGAATAGTGGTTGGAACAAGAAAGTACATTTTTGCTCCCTGCTAACCCTCCCTCCTTAAGTCCCTTTAAAGCTATTCTGTTCCCCAGTCCCTTGGTCACAGAGAAAGCCCCTCCCCACAGGGACCATCCCTACCCAACCACATGGACACCATGACCAGCTTCAGCAGCCTGGGCAGCACCATGTTGGTGTTCTTCCTCTAGATGAAAAGTATCCTTTTCCTCTTGGATTTCAGGCTCTGCACTGGGAGGGGAGCCCCACAGGGTGAGGGAGGAACCACTGGGCTATGAGCTGCTGCTGCACCAGAGCAGGAAACAGAGGCTTCCTGGAGYAGGAGGTGGCATGTGTCATCTTAAACTTCTCTGTGGCTGGCTGACGGTCTCACCAACACAGACTTCAGATCTGGCACTGGAGTCACACTAAATCTGATTATGCCACAAACAGGACAACTGTTCTGCTCTCTACTAAATGGAACATTTTTMTACCAGGAGGATGACTAATTAATTAAAGAGATACAATGAAATTCTTCTCATACTATTTAAATCCATTATACTGCACATTCACAGAAATCCCATGATTGTACTTTTATTATTCAAAAAGTGTCCATGTCCAGAAAAGATATTTTGACACTCTCATACCAAATTTGGAATTAAATTTGATTTAAGTATTTCACAATAAAAACTTGAACATAGATAATACCAGATTCCAGTATATATCTAGTCTTCAAGTAGAAGGAAAATTAACTCAGATTGTTGAATTTGTGGATCCCTCTGAGGAAAGTGAAAACAAAAAATATATACAGTGATGTCAGCATTTTTCAATGTAGCTCAAAAATATGTCACTCAATACCACTTCTTGAATAATCCAACTCAGAACCCAGCCTCAAAAAGCATAGATTAAGTGACTTTTGATTAATAAAATTAGACTTAAAATGTTAGAAATGTATCTGCTGATAAATAATCAAGGTAGAATTGGTACAGTTAAACTCATACAAAGAGAAGGACTCACCCTAATTGTATACACTGACATGAAACTCATCTGAAACTCTCCTTTATCAATTATCATTATTGTGGGATATATATTTTTTTATTTTTTTGTAAAAATATAAATCAGATCGCCAAGAAAATAAAAACACTTGAAATGATGATTTCTTTAAATGAAATGACATCAAAGTTTAAAACATTCAGGAGTAGGAGCGACTGAGATTGGCGCAGAGATGGAGGTTTCATATGTACCCTATGGCATTACCTTTCTCTATCCAAGACTCAGGTTTCTTCAGAGGTTTAAATTATATGACTCAATTCACAGGATATTCTGCAACGTCACAAGTAGAAAAGAAAACATGAAGTTTGCCTGGACTTAGGGATGAGAGGGTGTGGTTATAATTGGAGAGCACAAGAGGCTCTGAGATGACAACATTATTCCACATCATGATTGTGCAGTGGTTACACAGACCTATATGATGCAATGGAATTCAGTGTTCACAGAGAGAACTGTACACCAAAGAGTTAATTCTTCTATATAACAATTTAAGAAATTATATTTAAAATGCCAGGAAAATAAAGTGATGACACYTTCTATTTTTGTGACTGGACTCAGTCTAATATGTAACATTATTTCCTCAATGTGGAAAAAGAAAAGCCCCAGCCATACCCACTGTGGAAGGCAAAATCACACCACCAAAACAACTCAGTTCCTGACCCCTGGGATGCCAGTGAATTTATATGCAGATAGGTTTAAGTTAAGATATTTAACTAGAAAGTATATGGGAATATATGAAATTTGAAAGCAATCTTTTTGTTTTTGAGAGATGACAGGGTGACTGTGGAGGCAGAAAATGGAGGGGGCAGCCCCAAGCCCAGAAATGCTGGCAGCCATCAGAGCTGGGAGGAGCCAGAGGCAGATTCTCCCTACAGCCTCTGGGTGGGTGCAGCCCAGAGAAACTGATTTTAACTTCAGGCCTCTAGAACCATGTTGGAGAAAAAACATTTCCATTGCTGTAAGCCACCAAATTTGTTACAGAGCAAAAGGGAAATGTACCTGAACCATCTTGAAGTTCCAAAGCTTGAACAGCTTGGATCTAAGATAATTGATCCTACACACTGTGGCTGGGTTTCTTTTAATAATGTGTGGGCTTTGTTTTATTCTTTTGGATAAATTGTCACCTTAGTAAGATAGAACTTTTAGGAGAATAATAACATACTCTCTCTCTTATAACCATGAAACTTAGTAATAAAATGTAAGCCAYGCTTCCCTCTCATTCCATTATAAGTCTCGAGTGAAATGGACTAACAAGGAGTCAGCTTCCTTCTCTAGGACAGGAGCTAGTGATAATGTTGAGGGAAAGAAGGACAGCCAGTTGAAGAAGGGGTCACAACATTAACCACTACCATTCAGATGTTTTAAATTTAATTTATTCTAAAGACTAGAAGAACAAGCCAATTAGCTGATAACTAACATCTGTAACTTAGCCAAGAAGGATCCTCCTCACCACACCAACAGSCAGCTRTGTCTATCCTTAATATGGGAGCTCTTCAAATTCACCTTCCTTTCTCAAGAAGTCAAAGACTTCARTAATTTCTTTTTTATATAGCTTCTTCATTTTCTTTGACTTATTGTCATCACTAAAATATAATTTTTAAAAGAAACTTGTGATCATAAAGTTTAATTCATTCTAGACATAAAGATAGCATTTTAGCAAGACATCTGTGAGTTAATCATTAAACAATTTTTTTCTGTAATCTACTAGTAAGAGTTGAGTAAAGTGGGGATTAATATTTATGTATCTAGGATTATACATATATACATATATATTTTTTCATATACAGAAAGAACTAAAGGAGAAATAAAGTTAACTATTGAGTAATAAATTTAACTGTCTCTATAAAATGGAGTTTTAACAAGAAAGAGAAGCATGGATAACTGGAAATAGATTTCTTCAAAATAAATTTTGTTTGTATAATTGGGGTTTTTACAATAAGATGTTTTAAGATGAATATATATAAATGGTTATATAGTGAAGCAAATTACATATCTATTCTTTCACATAATAAGTTTTTGTGTTGACCAAAAAAACCTAAAATCTACTTATTTGACAGAAATCCCTAACACAGTATCATTAACTGTATGCCTTATACTGTATATTAGATACCTAGACTAGTTCATCTTATATATGTACTTGTCTGTATTCTTTGAGCAAATATTAGAAATAGATTGTCTGAGTACAAAATTATCAATTTCCCATTTTTTGTATCATATATATTTTCTGTGTTTGGTGCATAATGTTTTCTAGTCAGAAAAAAAATAACTAACGCAATATCTAAAGAGTCAAAGGCCAGCAATCATAGGGATTACGATGTTGTTCACAAGGGGTTATTTAGATGAAAAGAGTCTGAACGGCAGATGTAAACTCATCTTCAATGTCTAGATTTCAAGGCAAAATAGTTCTAATTCCCCCTTAAGAATATGTTAAGTACAGCTTTAGAATTGCTGATCAAGTGAACATACATGGAGTTGGGGATTCCTCCCCCATGTTTTCCCTTGTATCTCCTCATTCATCTGTCCAATTTTCACTAAGTATATGTATAGCAAAAGTTTGTGCTGTATGCCTTTCCTAACAAAATGTTAGGAAAAATGTTAAGTAATATATAGAAAAAATATTAAGCACCAGAGTAATAATGTACCTAAATTTCTTACTGTATACTAATGTGCTATTTGCCACTTTGAACAATATGGCAAATGCTATTCAGGAAAGTCTGTRGTAAGGGAAACAGGTGGGGCTCAGCCTAGCAGCAGGTTTGAGTACAGGCTGCAGGTGTCTGGGAAGCATCGTGAATCAGCTGCACAGAAGTAACAGCTGAGTCTCCAGGTTGGGTGGCTGTGACGTTCAGGGAGAAGTGTTTGGCTCTCTTATCCAACACAACAGTGAATCTTTGGACTTGATTTATCTCCTTATTTGAATGAATGTCTATAATACGCTGGGGACCTTTTCCAACTTCTTGCTTATACCAAGGGAAGTACTCTGAACCACTGATTGAATAAGTACAGTTGATAACAGCGCTGTCACCCTCCTGGACACTCAGGGTAGAAGGATGCTGCTCCACCTTCTCTCCTTGTCTCACATCTGGGAAAGAAAAAGAAAAACAAGAAGTTTGGCCATTACTCTCCAGAATTTTATTTTCCTKCAGGACATTCAGGAGATCTAAATAAACCTAATCATCTCCCTGGACATTAAAAGAACATTCAGTAGTATACTCTATTATCCCCCAATCCTCAACTCACAGCTCAGCTGTAGCCAAAAGAACATGAATAAAGAATAAATCACTGTCTTCATAATTCTTCTTTTAGACCACAGATTTGATCTCTAGCCAGGAGAGGTCTTTCTGTTATCAGGTTGTCACTTTGTTTCCTCTAACAATTATAGTGGCTTCTGTTATTACCTACCCATCCAATAAGAAAAAGGCTTCTGACTTCAGCCTATGCATTCAGAAATTACCACAAAGAACACCTCATCTATTCTGCCCCAGCTAGGGTAGACTGCCCCCTTGTGGTCATATCCTTAACTACTGAAATCCCTGGTAAAATGGTCTTTCCTTCCCCCAAGAGGAACTCAGACACATAAAAGTGGCAATAGGACTATTAAATAGGTGTCAGATCAGAAATTAAATGCACAGTTAGTATGTAGAGATCAAAGTTGATGTTCATGCACACTACTGAGCCATTGTTAATAAATTGGAAAGTGATAGATGCTGCTGGTATTGATACAGCCATGGGCTGACTTGATAAGTTTGAAATCAAGGAAGCTCTCTCATAAATGAAGGAACACTTAATACTTTCCCTTTCAGCAAAATCTTCCTCCAAGATATGTCTATGAAAGAGAAAAATTTTTCATCAAAGTAACTTGTAAGCCAAAGAACAGAAAGACAGAAGACCACTGAATATTGGAAGTGCATATTATATCAGAATCTGCTTCTCCAAACCTGGTCCTGCCCATAACTTACCATTCCCCAAGAAGAGGCAGCACCAAAGTCAAACTGTGAAATCTTCCCTCAGTAAGGTGCCTGGGATAAAAGATCAAATCTTAATGGTAAAGGAGTACAGGGATACATTCTTGAGTCATTAATACTCCAACATCAGTAACAGGTGGACAGTTTGGATTGAATTGCAATGAGAAATTTGATGTGC